ATTTTTTCTCAATAAATGGCTAAACAAAATATCTATAATGGCGAGGAGGTTTTTTGCAACTAGCTTTCCTCAAGCTTTTATTGCTATTTTTTAACTGTTTTCTAACCACATTACTCCTCCCTTTATCTCTGAGTCATAAGCACTACTGATGCTTTGGTTTTACTCATCTGACTAAATTGAGTCCAGCCCTGTAAATTCCATGAGGTCAGGTACCGTTTCTGTCTGTCCATATCCTTCATAGATATCCAGGCCTGTGCTGTTTCTCCATTGTTCAGTCACCTCAGGGTTGATTGGTTCCCCAGCACTCACACAGTGCTTCAAGCTTTTGAATTTCCAGCTGCTCAGGAAGCAGGTAACAGGTTAGGTTTAGGAGGAAAATGTATACAGAAGTGGAAATAAAAGCTTATTTCTAACATAAAATTTTAAAAAATCACTCTAATGTAATAAAATTACTCAAAAACTGTTTTTTTCTTTCTTTTTTTTTTTTTAAAGCTGCTCAGAGCAGGTAACAGGTTAGGTTTAGGAGGAAAATGTATACAGAAGTGGAAATAAAAGCTTATTTCTAACATAAAATTTTAAAAAATCACTCTAATGTAATAAAATTACTCAAAAACTGTTTTTTTCTTTCTTTTTTTTTTTTTAGTGTGTTGGGGGTGGTACTTTGTCACAAAGAAAAGCCATGCTGTCTTTAGGGAAGATACCTCATAATAACGTCTTAAATCAGCAACTAAAAATTCCCTCACAGAGACTGGTAATATTGAGGGTGCTAAGTACAGTAAAACTTTTTCTCTTCAGATTACCAGTTCACCCTTTAAAATGAAAACAGTAATAAATTTTAAATCATGCATCCTTTTTTCCATTTGCTGAGATAAGGTTCTAAGCAACTTTGGGGCGTGGGGGGTACCAGGGATTGAAGTCCGGACTTTGTGCTTGTGAGGCAGGCGCCGGAACCACTGAGCTAAATCCCCAGCCCCCTAAGCAACTTTTCTCCTGTCTCAGGAAGGGTAGCAGCCATCATCCAAAAGATTAAATACCTTCCTACCCCTAACCACTGGGCTCAGATCTACATGTGTCTGAACACTCCCTTTCCTCTCCTTGCCTGGGGGAGCTTGTCCTGGACACAGGAACCCTCACTTCCAGCATATCAGCAAGAGGAAAGAAAAGAAAAGAAATCCTGCACCTACTAGTCAGGAGCTCTGCTTTTAGGCCAAAAGTTCTTTCACTTTCTGTCTTCCTCTTCCTCTCCCTTCCCATACAAAATGCTTGTTTACTAACATTTCTTACCTTTTCATGTCATTCTGTATAAGCATTCGGTACGCAGTTGGTGCTGAACAAAAGACAGTGATGGGATACTTGGAGAGTGTCTGCAATTTAGAAAAAGCAGACTCTTGATCTTCCTACAACTTTAATAAGTGTTTAAACATCTGAGATAGGTACAGCAGAATATAAACATTGTTTATTTTAATGTAACTACACACATTTTTAAATGTCTTTTCAGCCTTATTGACTTCCTAGATGTGAAATGTCTTAAATCATGTCATCTCTTCTGATCTGTGAGTTACTTTATTCAACAAGCTTTTCAGGGACACTACTAATGTGTTTCTAAATATGGAGCTTCTGTGCTCTGCCTTACTTGTAAGATGGAAGTTGGTTCAAAACGGGGCAGATAATGTGCAAACACACAGGCTCCTTGGATCCATGGAGAAAAAACACTACTCCATGCAGACTTTGCCCAGCCTGTGTCTGAGGTATTCCACATCACATCCAAAGGTGTCAAATCCAGCCAGTACCTGGGGAAACAGAATAACCCTGATGTACAGATATGTAGCTTTGTAGGAATTTGACGTGTATAAATGTATGTATAAATCTGCTAAATTTGGAGGAAGACATTTAAAAAGCCAATACGCAATTCATTCTCTTTGTACTTTTAGCACCTGAAGCTACATTTCTGTGGAAGTACCTTCCATTCACAGATAATCCTAAACCAAAACTGCTGTAGGTGTGTCCAACCATCTTAGGCAGCCCAGTTGTTCCACTGGTAAAGTAAATGGTCATCATCTCATTGTGTTTAGTCTTCACACAGCTGTGTTTGTCACTGGCACATCTACAAAGGAAAAGCTACAATGACTGCATATTAAACACAGCACTAGAGACGATTAGCACTGAAAACGAGTAGAGGAAAACCCCAGTTGGATCTCTTTTTATAAATCAGGCTCCAGCGACTTGGATTGAATCCAAGTAAAAGCTACCTCTCTCCATTGGTTTTTTAATATATTTTCTAGAATATAAACTTTGCTATTAAAAGCCCTTTTATAATAGCTGATTACATAGCTTTTTACTATATGTTAAAGAAGGATTGAGGCATTTAAAAAGCTAGACCAAAAAAAAAAAGCTAAACAATTGTGTCATACCTACAGCAAAGTGAGGATTCTATGATCTTATATTCATGGATATGTAAAGAACTTCCCCTTCCTCTCCATTGGAAATTCTTTAAAATGTGATTTTTAAAAAATGGATATGTTAATACAAGTCATAGGGAATGGCTAGGATCTGCAAACTATATCCTACAGGCCAAATCTGGCTCATCTCCCAACTTTGTAAATAGTTTTATTTTGTTTTGGATTATGAGACGGGGTTTCACTATGTAGCCTGGGCTAGTTTCATACTCTCTATGTATCCCAAGTTAACCTCAAACTCACAATCCTCCTGCTTCGGACTTCTGAGTGCTGGGATTACAGATGTGTG